AGTGGTCAGTCAGCGTAATTTAGCGACATCTCAGAAATCGCATTAGACTCCGACGCGATCTCAATCTGATGGCATCGCTCTCTGACTGGTACTTCTAAGCGTTTGAGAATAAGTATAATTAGGACGTTTTAGGTAACAAATCCGCCCATTGATCCGTTCCGTGAACAGATAGTGATGAGTCTAAGATGTCCAGTGGGGCCAGAATCCAACCTTCTGGAACCAAATAACGAGTTGGAAAGTCGCCTAATTCTCGAGCAGCCCGTGCTTTCGCTCGTGGATATGGAGGTATTTAATAAATTTATATCCTACGAATGCCCTTCTCTGCTAAGGTGCAATGGCCGAAAATTAGGAATAGACTTTTATCAGCATAGCTAAGTAGGATAGAAGGAGGATTTTAAATTAGAATAAGAGAACAGCTAAAAATGATAGGAAAACATTTGAGCTTTTGAAATCAATTTGCTTCTTAGTAGATTCACATAAAGCTCAAGTTGCTTCTTTTCTTACAGAAAAGCCACTGCATTTCTGCATTAAGATTGTTTAAGGTGATTAAACGCACAATGTACAAAGGTTGGCGAAGCAAAGTAATCGACACGACATTCCCTGTGAGATATGGAGTGAAAGGTGAGCGCGCCCTCGTGAGCTTTTCCCGGCTCAAAAACCCCTAACGAGCTCCGCTTCATTATGTTGCCGAAGTAGAATATGAGGTCGTTTATGGAATCCAGCTCTCATTTAGGTCTGGTACCAGGACTCGATAGAATCTGCTGCGAAGCTTGCACCGCAGCTCTGGATGGTTACCAGATTTTAGTGCTGTCCGATAGAGCGGCCAGCAAAGATAACGTACCAATATCGTCACCTCTAGCTGTTGGTGCTATCCATCAATGTTTGTTACGGCACCGGTTGAGGATGAAGGTTGGTGGGAGATTGATGGTACTAGATGGCTTCTGATTTTTAGCATTCGTTCGTAAAATGGGAAAGAACGATGCTAGATACGATTTTCATACGTCTTAAGATTCTAGATTGATCACGTCAAAACTCGTGCTAGACTCAGGATGGTCCGGTTTCGAAAAATTATATTCCCCTGATAATTAGAGCTGTTTTTCTTTAATTGAATAATCATGATGCTTGGAGAGTACTCCTCGATCTGAGTATCACTTTAGTGAGATTTTTCGAACTCAAAACGGGTTGCATCAATCTTTCAATATACTGAATAAGTTGTTGCCTTTGGTCATTGGTCATGCATTTGTAACCATAAATTGCTTGCAAATGTTTTGATGTTACTTTTAAAAGGCAATTTTTGCAATTACAAGAAGTTAAAAATGAAAGCATTTCTAGAACACCAATCATTGGCCCTATTCCATCATTCTTCTCAATCTTATTTCAGCAATGTCGTGATAAATCGAAAATCACAAAGATAAATTTGCCCTCGTCTATCCGTGGGTTATCAATCACTTTGTCATATTGTTGGCATTTTCCTCTTTTAGCGATTGCAGGGCATCCAAGAAATGAATATAAAAGGGATTAGTGACAAATAGTGGCAAAATGCGATCTTTTTGAAGGAAGATTAAATTTTTTACTTTTTTGCTGAAAAGACATCCATATGATCAAATAATCTAAAAAAGAAAAGAAGCTAAACTAATTCACAGACATTTGTTTTCCTGTAAAAATTGTTAGAAATGTCAACACTTTTTACTTTTACAGCCTGAATTGTTCGCTATTGAGGGGAGA